CCTTCCAACTCCAAATGCAATGATCTTGTAATAATAGTCTTTGCAACAACAAAGGTCAAATTAATCTTGAATAATGGCTAAGAACATTGTGGTTCTATATCATACCTAAGTTGTTTCTTTAGAGTAAGATCCTGAACCATTCTTTTTTTATATCGTGAATAGTTAAGGACTCTAGTTTCCAAACTTAATAAATGGTTATTAATCATAGGCTCTTCAAATAACAGGAGTGCAGATTTATACCTCAAGAAACTTTGGAGGTCATCTGCCCCATGTCCAACCTCTCCTTGTTTGGCAGATAAAGGAACTAAAGCCTAGAAAGATTAAATAACTTACCCTGAGGCTACAAAATTAGGGTTCAGAGGACCACAGTAATACTACCTTGAAAAATAACTGTTGGTAAGTCACAAAATCGTGTACTCAGTGTCATTTTTGCCTTCTGTAAAATAAGGCTGATAATACTTTCTCTCCATAATTCATAAGCTTTTTATGACAACAATCATTAATAAGGGGTAAAGTGTTAGAGCGATTTTATTTTCAATTATAAGAAAAGCAATAAATGTTTCTACCATATTATTAAAAATAACAATCTCAAACTTTTTTATCAATTACCCCCTTTTCCTCTATAGAATTTTTCTATAAAATAGAGCATTCACTACAAATTCCCCCCTCCATTTTTGGAAGATGTAGCAATATATGATACATAATGCAGTGAGACAGGATATTCAAGTGGCAAGAAGACCAGATTACGGGTAAAGAAAAGATATCAGTTTGCATCATAAATCAGACATTTATTATCTATTATTTATTATCGGTACATTTTCCATTGTTCTTGTCTTTGCCCCTGAAAGACAATATTTTGATGGTACAGCTACTCAGAAATGAATATGGCTTTATCAGTGAATATAATATGAAATAAGATATATTACCATCTATGTTGTCACTACATTTGAAGGACTGCTTATCTTTTCCATCAAGCTGGAAGTGGAACTCTGCTATTAAATTTGTCCTCCATTGTACAATGAGTTGCATGACAGCAAAAAATCTCTGGGGTTTGTTTTCCACCACAAAGACATTAGTAGCAGCAAAAAAAAAAATAATGATGACTACAACAGAAGCAACAACACCAGTTAGCATTTATACATTACTTTAAAATTTGTAAAGCATTTTTTTCCATTTACTATTACATTTAATCCATATATATTGTGTTCATATATCTAATGCATTCAGAGTAATGCTTTCATCATGGTAAGTATTTAAGAGATTTTTCATTCTTTAATTTATCTTTTTCTTTTGATTATTTTTTTTCTTTTCCTTTTTACCACTTTTCATTAAATGGAAAAGACATTAAATTACCACTTTGGTAAACCTACAACCCACAGAGAAATAACCTCATTCTTTTAATTTACTTGATAGTATTTGTGGTATTTTTTTGTCTTTATTATTAAAGATCTTTGCTTTTCCATTTAATGTGACAAATTTAAAGGATTTTCCAAAACGTCCTCTTACCTAAAGAAATATTTTACTATTGTGGAATAAAAGTATCCTTCTAAGTGCTATGCAAGATAATTATTATATGATTCATAGTCATGTTTCATTATTTTAATGATTTTGTCAGAAAAAATAATAATACACATACATTCTTACAGTTTTATTAAAAACTTAACAAATATGAAAGAAAGTGGACACTTCCATATAGATAGTTGAATAGAAAAAAAGGAGTCTGTATAAAACTGCATATTTCTATTATGTGTTTCTATCCTTCTGACATACTATCTATTTTTTTTCTCTGCATCAAAAATGATGTCTCAATGACCTTTATTTTCCCCTACCTTACTCTGTCTGTCCTCATGCTTCTATCCACCAATTAGGGAATGAAAAGCAAAGTAAAACAAAAACAAGGAGAACAACTAAAATAAAACCCTTATAACAAACATGCCTAGTTAACAAAACAAATTTTTATATTAATTGCATTAAGATCTATGTCTCATTTTCAGTCGCAAGTCCATTACCTCTCTCTCCCTACATGAATATCATTTTTGTTTCATTATTATTTTTCTGGATTATAGGTAATCATTGAATTAATAAAACCTTGCAAGTGTTCTTAAGTTGTTTTTAATTCCTAAATGTTTATTTTGTAAATTGTTTTCCAGGGTCTGTTCAATTCACTTTATATCATTATATGTCTTCCAAGGTATCTCTGAAACTCTCTCCACCATTTCTCATGGCACAAAGCATTTCCATGTATTTCTATATTCAACAGATGATTCTACTCTTTAGTTTCCCATTCTTTACTACTATAAACAGCCCTGCTCTAAATAATTTTGTATTGATATGTCCTTTTCCTTATACATGTACCTCTGCATTCGTGTCCCTATATTTCTGTTTGATATTCTTAAAATATTTCGGTTGTCTGTTGGCCATCATTAACCTTTAATTTCTAAAGTTTGGAAAGACCCTATTATCCACAAAATATATAGGATCATAGATTAATACACACGTGTGGATACCCTATCGCTGTGAAAACAAAATATTACTATTTCACAAAAGGGAAATTACACAAATAATGAAATACTACTATTTGACAAAAGTCAAATTTAAATTTGTCCTATGAACCTTTGACCTCTAAATGGTTCTGGGAGGCATGTAAAAATGTTAAAAACATCATTGCTTATGTGAAGAACTGAAACTAACAACCATCTCTCTATCTCTCTATCTCTCTGTCTATCTCTCTATCTCTCTATCCATCCATCCATCTCTCTACCTGATACATAAATGAGCAAAAGGCCACATCCACATGTGGCTTATTTTTTCAGTGGCTTTTAGTTCCATCATTTTGACTTGTATTGTTGTAATAAGCAACACTTCTGCTAATGCTAGCGAGAGGCCTCTCAGGCATGGAAGATCATTCTCTGAATGGAAGTGCCCATATTTACAACCCCTAATCCTGGTATGAAACACGGAATTTATGTTATCACCATATTAGTGTACATAAGCAAAGTTGCATGGAGTAAGAGGCCATTGGGTTGAGATGTTTGAAATTTGTATGATGAGGTAGTTTTAGCAGTCATCTAAGGGAATATTGAAATAAATAAGATTATGTTAGTATACAGACTGAAGATAAGGTCTATGAAATATGTAGAAAAATCACTAATTGTCATAAATGAAGGCTTCATTTAAACTAGAAGGAATAAGTATTGTATGAAAACTGGAGAACACTGAAAAACAGATTATAATAACATAATGGTTCCAAGATACAAAATAAAATCATCTTTTATATGAGCAAGTCATATAGGAATAAAACTTGTGGCGAAGAAAAATAACAATTATATGTGAAGAATGAAGCTCTGTGAGGAAGGAGATTTGGCAGACATCTTATACCTACAGCTCCCATACTTCTAATGGTTCGATAATCTCATCAATGGTTATTTATCCAATGAGGTAGATTCACAAGCCAGATATGTGTGCCTATTCTATCCAACTCTCATCCATGTTCTCTTACCTGTTTACAAAAACATCTGCCCAACGAGTAAGGGGTTATTTTTTTTTCTCATTCTCTTGCATGGCATGGATAATAAGGGAACATTTTGGCTGTCCACATGTCCTTCATTCTCCTTATGTCATCATCCCACTTTTTTAATCCCTTAGTCATACATTTCTTTGAAATGCTTTATGAAATTTTGCATAATTCTTTGCTTGCAATGCATTACAGTTTCTTTATGCATACCAAATATCTCTTTATTCTATTCTTTTGAAGTGATTATGGATATCATTTAGGTGATTTCAATATTCTGAAACTTTCCATTTGCCTAATAAGACATAAAAACAGAAACATGAGGGAATGGGACACTTCACTAGTTCTTTTACTTAAAGTTATGAAAACTGATGCCTGGGATTGGAAGATCAGTATAATGGGAAGTAGATAAGTATGCAAAACTATGGTGTATAAATTAAGAAGTATCAAGACAAGGGGGTTCTAGTTCTCTATTTTGTTCAAAAATAAAGCAAGCCATGATGGATTCTTTGCTGATTTTGGAGACAAATGTAATAATATTGAGTGAGATGAACAGTGGACCTACTTTTAGGTTTCCATGTGGGAGGTTTGTTGTGATAGAATGGTATGAGGAGTAGCTGAAGGAGAATGGCCTGAACTATAGAAAAAAGATAAACTTGCATTATGAAAGTGATTTGAAGAACTTTGGAATTCTGAAACCTGGAGATTAAATTTGGAGAAAAGAAATGAGGGATGACTTGAGGAGAAGTTTAAAAAATAATAAGATCTTGAGCTGATGGTATTGAAGGATATTTAAGGAATCAAACTGAAGGAGAAGGTTTTGAGGTTAAGAAAAATGGTTAGAGCAGAAAAGTATGAGAAGAATGAGAAGACAAAAGTTAGGAATTAAAAGGGGAGTACAGCAAGAATTCCAAGGAGACAGGATAGATATTTAAGGACACAAGAATTGGCAAGGCAATGGTAGACTTTCATGGCAGAACAAAAAGAAAGTTTGGGAGAATGGTCAGGTTGCTAATGAGATGTCACCTCTTCAAAAAGGAGCTAGACAGCTCCTGAAAATAGATGGAATTTTCACAGAAGCATATTTATGTTTGATAAAAGAAAATAGCTGATGGAGGCAGTTAGGTGGCACAGTGGATAGAGCACCAGCCTCGGGAGGCAGGAGGACCTGAGCTCAAATCCAGTCTCAGACACATGATACTTATTAGCTGTGTGACCCTAGGAAAGTCACTTAACCCTGATAGCCTGGCTCAAAAAAAAGCTGACCAACAATGAAAGCTATCCCAAAATGGAGTAGGCTGCCTTTGAAGAATGAGGTTTCACCAAGACTAGAAGTCCAAAATCAAATATTGTCAAATATGTTGTGGTGTTATGGGTAGAAAATGATGATTTCTTTGGATTATTCCAATTAAGATTTCAAAATTTTAAAATTTAAAATTTAGTTTAAAAGTGAAGCATCAATATTAGGGAAGTATAGATATTTGCTCCATCAGGCTAATAATTTGATTAATAATTTCTTTAATGCAGCAATAACATCTTTGTTTTTTAAACTATATATAATGGGATTAAACATAGGGGTCACAGTGGTGTAGAAAAGAGACAGAAATTTTGCTATCCCTGATTGACTAGACTTGGGTATCAAATATGTAATAATGCCAGACCCATAGAATAAACCCACAACTATAAGATGGGAAGAACAAGTGGAAAAGGCCTTTTGTCTCCCTGTAATCAATGGCAACTTCAGGATGGTGGTGATGATTTTAAGATAGAATCCAAGAATGGTAAGGAAGGGAACCATCCCAAGTAGCACAGCAACAGCATAGACAGAGAACTCTTGCACAGAGGTATCCCCACAGGCCAACTTCAGTAATGGAGGAACATCACAGAAAACATGATTGAGTTCATTAAAACAGAAGGGAAGAGAAATTACCTTATATGTCTGTATTAATTGTCCAGGGATTCCAGTCATCCAGGAAACAACCACCAACTGGACACAAACTTTGTGGTTCATGATAAGAGGGTAGTAGAGAGGTCTACAAATGGCCACATAACGATCATAGGCCATCACAGCAAGAAGGAAGCTCTCAGTGACTCCCAGAATAAGAAAAAAAGAAAGTTGTACAGCACAAGCCATCAAAGAAATGACTCTGTTCTGTGTCCAAAGGTTTGACAGCATTCCAGGGAGAGTCACTGAAGTGTAACAGATTTCCAAGAAGGAAAAGTTACCCAGGAAAAAGTACATGGGAGTTTGGAGAGTTGGATCTACCTTGGTAATGACAATGATGAGGCCATTTCCTATGAGGATACTCATATAGATGATCAAAAAAATTCCAAAGAGAAACCCTTGGAGGTTGGGAAGTTCAGAAAATCCCAGAAGAATAAATTCCCCTATGACAGTGAGATTTCCTTCTGCCACTTTTTCTGTGTATTCCATCTGTGAAAATAATGAATTTAGGATGGACAAGTAATTTCACCTCTCTGGGTCTCAAATTCCTTCTTAGAAAATTAAGGGTTATAAATTAGGTCATCTCTAAAGATACTGCTTGTTCTGAAATTCTATAGTTAGATTCTCAGGTCCCCTTAATTAACTAACTCCCCAACTTTATCCTGTGAAGGCCTATTTGAATCTCTAAGGTTCATTCTTGAGGATACTAAGTGCTTGTAGTATGGAGAAGATGCCAAGTTGACATGAGCACTGAATAAAAAAATTGAGAGCTGACAAAGGACTCAATATAGGTTACAATCTTTAAGTTGTCTTTGTCCTCACATGTCTCTGCTCCAACCAGCTGTTCTGCTCGTAGAACTCTGGCAGTTCATGCAAATTTTTACCATTTGTGCCATTCACATGATTTCCTCTTCACCACCCCTCCCACCTACAACCTCAGTCCCTTCTCTCATCATTCAGGTGAACCACCAGAACAAGAGAGTGACTAGAGAACAATAGAATCATAACCCTGTGAGCTCAAATCCCATCTTTACCACATCTTAGTTCTGTGATCCCGGACAAGCCATGAGCCACTTAACTCTAAAAATAACAATTAGTTGTCCTTGATTGTAAATTACAAAACAATTGTGAATTTGATTTGGTAGAAATATGAGTTGCTCTTATTTTCTGTAGAGAAGAGTTGGTGTGGACCTGTATGTTGTAATGTGTACCAGAATGTGAATCTGAATTTTTGTCAACATCATCATCCAAAAAATATTTGTCTTCAGGCCACAACTAAGCCTTATTTATTTTAAAATATGAAAAAATGCAGATTTTATTTTTATTTCATATATTTATATATAATACATGTTTATATACAATATATAAATAATAATATAGTTATACATAATATATTTATTTTTATAAAAATATTCTAGATTTTTGGAAATCCCAACCCCAAAAAAGTGCCCCCAGGAAAAAAGAGTGAATTTTTTTCTAGATCTGGATTCACTAGCTATTTTGGTCTCTGTATCCACTTGGCATTCTGTAAATCTCTTGGTATTCTCTATACAATATACAGGGAGGAGGGATCTAGAGTTTAAATGTATATATATACAAAAGAAATAAAAATAAGAATTTATAGCAAAATAGTAATATGATCATTCACAAATTATTCTCTATACCCTCTCATCAAGCTTCTCACATACTTTCTCTTTATTTTTTTTCATTTTTAAAATTTATTTAGTATTTTATTTTTCCCCAGTTATATATAAAAACATTTTTAACATTTCTTTGTAAAACTTTGGGTTCCAAATTCTCTCCCTTTCCCCACCCCGATCCCTGCTCATAGATAAGACAAGCTAAATAGATATAGATCATATATGTGTAGTCATGCAAAACATTTTTATATTAGTCATGTTGTGAAAGAAAACATATACCAAAGAAAAACCTCAAGAAAAATAAAGTTAAAAAAAGTATGTTCTAATCTGTATTCAGATACCAACAGTTCTTTCCCTGAGGAGGGATAGCATTTTTCTTCATAAGTCCTTTGGAGTTGTCTTGGATCATTGTATTCCTGAGAAGAGCTAAGTCATTTACAATTTATCATTTTACAATATTGCTGTTACTCTGTACACGGTGCATTTCACTTTGCATCAGCTCACGTAAGTCTTTCCAGGATTTTTTTTTTTCTGAGAGCATCCTGCTCACCATTTCTTATAGTACAATAGTATTCTGTTATAATCACATACCAAAATTTGTTCAGTCATTCACAAATTGATGGGCATCTCCTCAATTTCCAATTCTTTGCCACCAGAAAAGAGCTGCTATAAATATTTTGGTACATATGAGTCTTTTTCCTTTTTGTTTCTTATCTCTTTTGGGATACCAATCTAATAATGATATTGGTAGGTCAAAGGATATGCATGGTTTTATAGCCATTTAGGCCTAGTTCAAAATTATTCTACAGACTGCTTGAATCAGTTCACAACTACACCTACTGTGCATTAATGTCTCATTTTTCTCATATCCCCTCCAACATTTGGCATTTCCCTTTTCTGTCCTATTAGCCAATCTAGTAGGTATAAGGCAGTACCTCAGAATTATTTTAATTTGCATTTCTCCAATAAATAGTGAGTTAAAACATTTTTCCATATGGCTGTAGATAGCTTCGATTATTTCTTCTGAAAATGGTTCACATCTTATTTATCAATTGGGGAATGGCTCTTATTTTTATATTCTCATATAGTTTAGCTGGGAGACCCCAAAGTGATTATCTCTAAACTCCCTTCCAGTTCTATTAGAAAAGGGAATAAATATTGAGTAGCACTTACTTTGTGCCAGGCAGTGTAATAAGTACTTTGCAAGTATTATCTCATTTTCTTTTCAGAATAATCCTTCTATGTAGGTGCTATTATCCCATTTTACAGTTGAAAAAGCTGAAGCAGACAGAGCTTAAATGACTTCCCCAGATTCACACAGATTATGTGTCTGAGGCAAGATTTGCACTCAGGTCTCGATGATTCCCAGGCCCAAGCCTCTCTTTGTGGCACTTATGATTCTTGATTATTAAAAAAACATCCTGAACTGAATTTTATTCAGAAAGAACTTTTGTTTGAACAGTTCACAATGGAATAATAAGTATAATGGATAGCTTTAGGACAAAAAAGAAACCAAAAAAACAGAACCCAAATTTCCATGTTAAGGAGTTAGTACGCAGTGTAGGATGGTCATATAATGTCCATTGCAGCCAGAAGAACAATGTATCTCTGTAGAGCTAAAGGACCTTTGTTTGGTATCTGAGTCTGCTCTATAATAGTTAAATGCCATTCAGCAATTCATTCAACCTTATGGAAGCACAGTTGTTTCATCAGTAAAATGAAGGGATTAAGTAAATGAACTTTCCATAATATATGATGCTGAGATAAAAAAAAAAACCAAAACAGAACAAGTTTCCTGCTTTTTGCCAATTATTACCATTAAAGCCATATACTGCTTTTCTTCATGGCTGATTGAATCAGCAAAAACCATTTACAAAGAACTATTATGTGAATTAACTCATAGCTGTCAAACTTACCTTGGTGGGTAGAGTGAGTCAAAGCCAATCTTGATATGAGCTGCCATCTACCCCTATAACAGATATTGTCCTGAAACATAGAATAGCCACAACATCAGAAACAAAGGCAATAAGACTTGAAAATCCTCATTGAGAGAATTCTATTATTAAGGAACCATGGTCCTCTTGTTTCTTTTCTTTTTTTAATTTTTGTTTTGCTTGATTGAATTGGTTCAAATTCTCAAGATTAGAGTTTTGAGGAGCTGTTTTTTCACCTCTATCTACAGGAAGAGGCCAAACACCTAAAAGTTAATTCTATTCTCGAGTAGTATTCTGTCGTTTAGTAGTTTCAATCATGTCTAAATCTTTGTGACCCCATTTGAGGTTCTCTTAGAAAAGATACTGTAATAGTTTGCCATTTCCTTTACCAGCTCATTTTACAAATGAGGAAACTGAGGCAAACAGAATTAAGTAAATTGCTCAGGGTCACACAGTTAATAAGTGTCTGAGGCTGGATTTGAACTCAGGAAAATGAGTTTTCCTGACTCCAAGTTCGGCACTCTACTGTACCACTTGACTGCCTTGATTCTATTGATATAATCATGAAAAAGCAAACTGAGAGACCTTGGGCTCTTAACATCCTCTGCTAAGCATTTAGGAGGTTGAATGATTTGATCCTGGATTTGTGTAATAAAAGCTGAGTCCTTAAAGACTTTGTTTACTTTTCAAAGTACATGGTTTCCTTTAGTCAGTAAATAACAGATTATTTAAATAATATGTGTTCTTTTGACCCGTAACTCATTACCCACTCTTTGATTTATGGATGGTGATTGTCAGTAAAAATCTATTACTAACATTTACTTTAACACCACAGTCCCTTGCTTCAATAATGGAATATACACTCTGTAGACTGTTATCCTGCCCTTTATGTTCTTTGGTCTCTTCATGATTTTAATCTAAAGAAAGTTTAGATCTAAACTAGAGATTTGTATGGAAGTATCAATAGACACCTCTCTGGGCATTATGTAAATGATGCCATTGAACTTTACCAAATCTTGATCCCTTTATAGGATCACAGAAATAGATCTTAGAGGATATTGCCACCAAAGTAGACAAAACAAAATCCCACCCCTGAAATCAGAGACATAGAAGGTGACAATGAAATGTTTGTTTTTTTTTCAGGAAGAATGATACAAAGTTCATCTGCTTCTAGCTTTGATTAATAGAGTTAGAATTATAGTAAGTGCATGAGACAGTATAGAATTTTGGATAGAGAATTGACCTAGAAGTCAAGAAGATTTGAGTACATGTCCTGCCTCTGAGGCATAACATCTTTGTTGTCCTTGAAAATTTACTCACCTCCTTAACCCCTAGATAACTTTCTAAGTTGCAGAAAAGGTCCTGACTCATGTTGGTAGAGGGAAATTTTTTATGCCAAAATAATCACAGGTATAGTCTCCACAGCTATCCTTTTTGTGTACAGATGTATACATGTACATATATATTTTCAGAGGCATTTAGCATGAGATAGTGGCTAACAGGCAAGCCATATAATCAAAAAGCATTGAGCTCAAGTCCTTTCTTAGCCACATCCTAGGTATATGACGCTGGCAAGGATCTTAAACTTTTAGTGACATGTTTAGCTCTCTCAAGCTATAAGTGGCAAGATAACTGTGAATAAGACTTCACAGAAAGTTACCTTATCAAGACCTTCATACACCTACTGAAGCAAAAGTCAGATGAAGAAAAAAAATATGTCTATCTCTTAAACATTAAATTGTGCCCCCTCAAAAAACAAAAAAGTGCATTAACCACCTTCAATCTGAACATATCCTTTGAAAGCAGTTAAAGCTCTTTAAATAGATAAGATTCCTACCTTGCCTTTCTCTGTAAGGATAGCTTCTCTCCCAAGCCACTTTTCATTTCTTAATGAGAAGCCAGGTCTTCAGAATCTAACCCCAGGGTTCTAAGCCTCCTTTAACAGCATAAGGTAGTACAAAAACCACAGGGACTAATCTAGTCTGGTTGTTCCACTTACTGGATATGTATTATTAGCAAGTCATTTTCCCTTTCTTACTTTCAAGTTCATCATGGATAAAATGTAGATAATGATGCTATCACTCCCTATATTCGAGGGTTATTATAAGGAAATATATTACAAAGGGTAAACTACTATGGCCATGATAGTTATTATCACAGTTCTAATGAATTATACTAATCAATGTGTTAGAGCAGCACCACCCACCCCAGCCTAGCTAACCCATATCTAAAACTATATCTAAAACTGCGGCAATCCTCTGACCTATCTGGTACTGGCTAAGAAATAGAGTGTTAGGTCAATACGATAGGTTAGTACACAAGACACAGTAGTCAATGACTATAGTAATCCACTGTTTTATAAACCAAAAGAATCTTGCTTCTAGGATAAGAACTCACTCTTTGACAAAAATTCCTGGGAAAATTGGAAAATAGTATGGCACAAACTAGGCAGAGACTAACTTCTTACACCATATACCAAGATAATGTCAAAATGGGTGTATGATTTAGACCTAAAGAGTGATACTATTACCAAATTAGAAGAACAAGAAGTTTACCTGTCAGATATATGGAGAAGGGAAGAATTTATGACCAAATAAGAGATAGAGAACATTATGAAATGTAAAATGGACAATTTTGATTACATTAAAAAGTTTTTGCACAAACAAAGCCAATGCAACCAAGATTAGAAGGGAAGTAGAAAATTGGGAAACACTCTTTATAGACAGTGTCTATGATAAAAGCCTCATTCCTAAAATATATAAAGAACTTAATCAAATTTATAAGCAGACAAGTCATTCTCCATTTTTTTAAATGGTCAAAGGGTATGAACAGGCAGGTTTCAGATAAAGAAATTAAAGCTATCTATAATCATATCAAAAATACTCTAAATCACTATGAATTAGAGAAATGTAAATTGAAACAACTCTGAGGTACCACTTCACACATATCAGATTGGCTAATATGACAAAAAAAGAAAATTATAAATATTGGAGAAGATGTAGGAAAATTGGAACACTAATGCATTTGTTGGTAGAGTTGTGAGCTGATCTAACCATTCTGGAAAGTAATTTGGAATTATGGTCAAAGAGATATAAAACTGTGCATATCCTTAGATCCAGCAATACCACTATTAGGTCTATATCCCAAAGAGATCACAAAAAAGGGGAAAGGACCCACATGTACAAAAATATTTATAGCAGTTCTTTATATGGTGTCAAATAATTGAAAATTGAGGGGAAGCCCATCAATTGGAGACGGGTTGAGCAAGTTGTGGTATATGAATATAATGGAAAATTATTATTCTGTAAGAAATGATAAGCAGACAGATTTCAGAAAAACTTTGAAAGACTAACATGAACTGATGCTGAATGAAGTAAGCATAGCCAGGATTATATTGTATATAGTAGCAGCCACATTGTGCAATGACTAACTTTGATAGACTTGACTCTTCTTAGCAATACAATGATCTAAGACAATTCCAAAAGACTCATGATGGAAAATTCCATCCATATCCAGAAAAAGAAGCATGGAATCTTAATGTAGATCAAAGTACATTACTTTCTCTCTTTTTTCTTCTTTCTTATGGTTTTTCCCTTTTGTTCTGATTCTTCTTTCACAACATTATTAATGTGGAAATATGTTCAGTATGATTGTACATGTATAGGCTATGTCAGATTGCATGGTCTTGAGGAAGGGGAGGGAGGGAGAAAAATACTGGAACTCAAAATCTTGTAAAAGAATGTTGAAAACTATCTTTACATGTAATTGAAAAAAATACTACTAAGTGGGAAAAAAAAAACAGCATCTTCCCCCCCAAAAAAAAACTTTGAATAAACCTTGTTTTTATTGTTGTGTTGTTTTCTTTTTAACATCTCATTGTGGAAAACAACATTAAGTATGAACCTCTCTGTCCATGCCTGGGAAGAAGACTGGAATCATTTGTTGTAGAAAAAGGCAGATAGATAAAATACAGCAGAGACTATATGAATAAAAGTCTTCTAATCAAATGAGATAATATTTGTAGAGCACTTAGCACAGGGACTAGCTCATATTTATTATTTTCCCTGACATAAAACTGTTCTCTTTTAACTATATTCCATGATACCTAGTATGTTACATATTATCCTCACTTACAAATCACCCAACAGGGTGAATCAAGTAAGTACATATATCTGGGAAAGAGCCTGGCAATGGACAATGAAATGAGCTTAGTGGTCCTGTATGTGATGCAACTCTGATTTGCTCTTTACTGCGTATCAATATGTCATTGATTATTAAAGGTTAGATATCATTTGAGAGGTAAAAGCAGCCATAGTGGTCTTTTAGGCCAACTCTTTGATTTTAGAGAGGAAGAAACTAAGTCCTAGTCAGGGGAATTAACTTGGACAAGGTGACATTGATAATGATTAACAGAGCTAATGATTAAACACTTTTTCTTTAGGTGTAATGAGACCCAGAGTACTCTTCTATTGTCTGCAGGAAAAATGAAAACTACATATCCAAGTACTGAAAACCCTACAATCTGATGTCCATGCACTCCTTCATACCACATCATATTTCATTCTCTTTGCAGTCTAGCCAAACTGGTATGGAGTTGTTCCAGTTCCTTCTTTCCTCTCTCCTTCCCTCCCTCCATCTGACCCTAGGACTATTGCCTAATTTTCCATCTGTGAATTTGTATCCTTCAATGAAACATAAGCTCTTTGTAGTCAGGTATGCTTCTTGATTTTCTTTTCATTCCCAATGCCTAGCAGATAATCTTTAATAGATCAGTCCCTTTACAAATGTGTATTTACTGTGTTAAAATTATTTGAATTGCCCCTCTTACTTCAAATGATTTGGCACATGGTACCATTACGTCAGATTTTATATTTTTGACCTCAAATATCATTGCATATGGTGACTGCAGCA